GTCCGGCCGCTCATTCGAGGGAGGGCAGCGCACACTTTTCAGACGGGCGTAGTTCGGCAGTGGCGTTTGTCCGGCCGCTCATTCGAGGGAGGGCAGCGCACACTTGCAGACGGGGCGGGTTGGTTGTACTGAGCAAGATTTTGTCTCGTGTTTTTTTCGTGGCACCAAGAGAGAGTAACTGACGTAACCACTTCGACGGAGGGAGGTGAACGATCTGAGCCGATTTGGTGCTCCTCTGCTTGTGTCTGCTGTTGTAACATGGAGGAAGAGGAGGAGGAAAAATAAGGTTGAAGTGATGAACGATGCTTCTGCCTCAGCATTTCAAGCTGTGTCTGTCTGTTGTTGAAACAAGGAGGGGGAGACAGGTTTATGTGGGAGACGAGGAGGTCAAGGCGGCTCGCTCACCACCTCGATTACTTGCCGCTTTGCAATTTTTCAACGGTAAGAGTGAGTGGGTTCAGAGATATGGCGTTACAGCTGTGTTGAGCGTTCGTTTGCTGGCCGATGAGATCTTGTTGTAATGTAGCGCTGTTTTGAAGTACCTCGCTTTGTTTTTGTTCTTTGAAACAGGAGGTAAGGTGTAGGTGTGTAGTTAACTGTCGTTGTCTGTAGCATCCGAGCTCGCCCTCGTTGTTTGTTATTTTTCGTGTTTGTTTCCATTGGGTGTGCAAAGCTGGCTCTTTCGTTGTGCGATGAATGGACCCTTGGAGTTTCAGGAACCATTCAGTCTTTGCGCGAAAGAAAGCGGCCTTTGCCACGTAGCATTTCGACGTACAGTAGAGTTAGCTGGCGATGTTACGGCTGTGTGCATGTCACCCAATCGGACGTACGAACAATGAGATTGTTTCGCGCAACCTGCTTGTTGTTGGTAGAATAGAAAATGTAGCTAGCTGGTAGAGAGGCGCTGAAGACGACCGAAAATGCCACGACCATCGTCCCTTGGCTCGAGCAGGACGCAGCGATGTTCTCTTGTCTCTCGTCCCTTGATTGGTCTTGTATTGTATGTCGTCAGTCTAATGTGAAGTAAGAATTGCCCGCCTTTTTCGGCCTGCTTGCCCGCTGTTGAGTTGTTTGTGTTGTCGAATGGTGTCGGTTGACCAATGGGGAGCTACGCGTCTTTTGGCTCTAGGGAAGGAGTCTCTTGCGGCTGCTGTAGTAATGTTTGGTATCACAATTTTGTCCTTCGTTCGGAGTGCACCCTGCACGCATGCCAGAGTCGGGGTCCATTTAGGTCGGGCACCTGCAGATGGTATTTTTATATTTTTCCAATTGTTTTTGCTACAATGTTTTTGCTATGGGGACACTAAAAGTAGGTTTTCATTTTGGTACGGCACCTGCAGATGGCATTTTCCAATTGTTTTTGCTACAGGGGGCACCCAGATGCATGCGTAGGTTTCCGTATGGTAGGTAGGGCACCTGCAGATGGCATTGTTCAATTGTTTTGGCTACTGGGAGGGGGGTATTGGGGGTGTGAACTAATAATAGTAGTTGCTGCGCAAGGTCGTGTGACTATGAGGAGATGATGAGTGATTTAGCCCATGCTGCAGTACTCTATATATATATTGGTTCCAGCCCTTGCTATTTTTCGCGCTCTAGTCTAATGAAGAATATCTTCGTAGGTATGCATATGTAACTTAAGGATCTGTTTGAGGAACGTGTTGCATTCACCCGGACGCATTCATTCCTGCACCACCCCCGATGCAAGCAAACGCAGCACCCGCACGGTCCGGTCGGAAGGCCGATTAAATGCGTACCGGTACAGCCAAGAAGAAGTTGTTCAACAATGTACCTACGGTAGCCGCATAGAACAAGGGACAGGCAGTGTACTAAGCTGAATTAGACACTGACAACCACACCCCTGGGGCTCCTCGTGGTCATCCACTTTGACCCTGACCACAAGGATGGTGGGTGTTGGGAGCACCGAAGTCCCGCGGAAGTCAAAGGTAGGTATTTTCTCAGCGTCCGCCGTCAACCCTGGAATCAGCATGACCATTCAAATTTGGCGCAGAAAGGGTACCATAATGATTTCGCTTATTTCGTCATGCCACAGCGAGCGGCTCATCATGTGTAGGTACAGCTACAGTAGAGGTCTCTTTTTGGTGCCGGTGTTCTTCGGCGGGCACACTGAAATTCCAATTCATTGCCAATACTTTGATTAGTGTCGTTGGATTTTCTTGGAGTATATTGTAGTAGGCATACAGGCACTCAACCTCTGCTGCATCTTTGCATGTGGTGATGGCAAGCTCTTGCCCGTATTTCACAACGTGATCGCGGGCTCAAATGAACGAATGCGATCGATCGGGCGTGGTGGGAGCGGTTCCTGAACGGGCGTTCCTTCTTGCCTCCCTCACATAAGAGGTTATGATTGGGTCCGTCCATCAACCAGTTAGCGTATTGTATGTAATGTATGTATTCCTCATATTCTCGTTTGTGACGGAGAGGCAACAACGTGTTCTCAACAACTTATCGCCTCGGAGGTTGAGGTGGCGACTAACCTCGCACCCCTGGCGACTGGCAAACGTACATACATCCATTTAATATTAGCTTGATACAAGTATCATACCTCACTTGGAACCTCTCGCCGAGTGAGCGGAGCTCATCCACGTTCGTTGGTTCGTGTCCGTTAGTTAGTATAGACATCGATAAAAGGCGTGCGTGTTCACGTCGCTCCCTAGAGCCCCTTCCCCACTCCCCTCGTCACGGGTGATCATCGTCATCATTCAGAAAAAGACAAGACAAGACTGGCATGGAAAAAAAAACTCCATGCCAGACAGACAGACGCGATTGATTCGTTCGCCGTGGTGTGTGCGCAACATTCTGAGAGAGGCATGGCGTGCCCGCCAGCCAATGATTTTCCGCCTGTCACAATTCGGCGGTGGTACCCGCGTGTGGACCAACAACTGCGGGCACTACCACTGTTTTCTCTTACATTCGCCACCATCGATGACCGCACGTTATAAGACAAGCACCAAAAAGGAACAGAGGAAACAAAATACGCGTGTAGTGTGCAAACGTTTATTTTTCTTGTGTGGCCCCGACCAAAACGTGTTATGTAATGTATTATTCTACTTATACGACAGAACGCATGCTACGTCCAGAAAAAGTAGAAGGAGCTTGACAGATTGTATCTACAAATTTTTACATACCACGTGCCGCTCCCTCTCTCTCGATCCCGCTGTGTGTGTCCAGCAAAGGGTGGCATGTCTGTCTGTCTTATTGGAACACTTGAAAAGTCGCAAGTCTCATGAATACTCCGGTGGCATACAAGAAGGAAGCATTTCCCTCTTCTCTGTTTGCGCATTGTTTTACAGTTGTTCCTCAACATCAGCGCGGTCCCCAGCTATCGAGCGCTGCATCAAAACCATCTAATACTATAATTTCCACCCCGTGATCGATCTACCGACCGCCATGGTGAATGGCCATCATGATCATGACCGACCGTCGTCATGACCATCATCATCAGTAGCACGTGCCGTTCAGGTACAAGGCCTGGCAGATCACAGCAGACACAGAATGCACAGGATGCAGTGAGGGGGGACGTCACACACAATTGTATATGCCTATCTGGATCTGGAGCCAAACGTACACGGAAACTCTGCATGTAGCTATATCCTCCAAGAAGAAGAAAACACCGATGGATCAGGAGCACCCACCCGCGGCGTGTTTCGGCACGACGGAACAGAGCCACTCGGAGTCTGACAAAGGCATTCTTCTTCTGTTTGTTTGTACCCAGAAGGAAACAACTGTTGGTCAGCTAGCCTGCGTGCATCTACTTCGAAGTACTGCTGCTGTGTCTCGCATGTTAAATGTAACAAACTATCCCTAGTTCTAGTTCACCCCTTTTTCTCTGAACACGAGCGCGCGAGTTGTTGGCGTTATGCCACGCAAGTGTTTTCCTTTCGGAGGGACGAAATGACGACGAGGACGACGGTTTCTCGTCGAGCCACCACACAAACAAAAAAAACGTGGCATGCAAAACACGAGGACGCCTGTACTCCCTGGTCAAGCGTGCGGGGATATCACCAATCAATCAACAACCCAGAGGGGATTCGAAAACAACGGACACACGGAGAAATAATTGCGGCGCAACTAGCCAGCCACACCAATCACGTGGGAACAAGGTACCTCCGGCTCTGTGCAGCAGACCGAGCACGGCTCCACCTCCCGGGACCCCGGCTCCTTCCAGCAGTAAGGCCCCTCCCCGATAACGAAGTTGCAGGCGCCGCTGTTGCCCGCCCCGCAGCTGCGACACCTCGACACCCCGTCGGTAGCGTTGTTGCTGTTCGCGTCACCCCCGCTCGCCTTGATATACCCCTTTTGGTCAGAAGGACAGGGTCGGGGTTCGTGTGGGGTTGGGGCGGGGAGGGGGGGGATACTCATAGTCGTGCATGCTGTAGTCGCGCTCGACCATTGACCTCGCATCCCTACAAAGCCGGGACGGAGCACGCCGGGTTCTCACCGGACCAGGCTCTCACATCACCAAGCGCGAAGCGCCGTGAGTTATTCGGCGAGTCGCATCAAGGGTGCGCTGCATCCTGCTAAGGGTGTTCGGCATCTTGCTTACTTCCTTGGGTACGGATGACAGCTGCGAATTATCTGGTGCTTTCACTTCCAGAGACGGTTGTAAGCACTGTGTAACTGCCTCGAGGGTGCTTGACCAATTTAACACAACGTGGTGCGATTATCCCCCTTGCGCGGAGTCAAGGTTCTCGACCCCGCACAACATAATCTACTCGACCACCATTCATGGTTACCGCACAAAAAAAAAAAACACAAGCAAAAAAAAAAAAACGCAACCTGGTTGCCGAGCTCACGAAGTGATCGGCTCGTTTAACAACATCGCTGCCAAGCGACGAAAACCCAACCCCGATGGCAAACACCGGGGGGGGGGCGGCTTGTTTTACAACGAACGTCGGTGCGAAGCGACGAAAACCCAAACCCCGATGGCAAACACCGGGGAAGGTGGGGTTGGGGCGAGGGGGGAAGAGATAAACGAGCGCCCGCAGACAAAACTGAGAGACGTGCTGGGTGTGAAGGGGAAGGCCGAGCGAGGAAAACATGTTTGCCTCGTGTGTTTCGTGCTTTACGTGCGACATAAACTTGGCACCAAACGCGGGTGCTACTGCCTTAACTGACGGCTGGCAATGAAAAGACGTCGCGATTTGTTCCCGTCCGTGTGTTTTGGGCCCCAATCTTCACGTTCCGGTAGCATATACGGTACAGTAGAGGTCCCTGTTTAAGGCCGCAAATTTAAGGCCGGTGGCCCTTTTTAACGCCGGTGAAATCGTCTGTCACACTTGCCTTCCTTTTTAAGGCCGCACAGGCCTTAAACAGGCATAGTCCCTATTTAAGGTCGATTAGGGCGTCCGCGCACCCTATATAAGGCCGGTTTTGGTGTGACGCACCCAGTTCTTCGGCAGCATTATTCAAGCCGCAACATAACCACTCCAGAGATCTACACAACAGCCCTAACGACCCAACCAGTAGGGGCACACATGCCTTGTGCGGCTGGTGACATGAGGCAATTTTTGTAGACTCGATAGGTGCACGGGGGGAGGCGTCAGTTGAGTGGTTCTCCCGGGTCCGGTGTCGTGTCCGGTTTCATCCTTGTATTTTCAACTTCGTGTGCCGTTGTTAGTGTATCAGGGGGTAGAGAGGTCGGGCTGTTCGATTTTTTTGTCGACTTTGTGTTTGACGGGTAAGCACCAGTTGGTCAGTTGGCGCAACATGTGCATTTTTCGATGGTTGTTGTGTTGTGCAGATCGTTGGACTTTTTGCTGTGGGCGTCCTCTCATTCTGATCAGGATTGGCAGTATTGTTGTCGACCTTCACGAGGGAGCCACTCGATGAGATACTTCGCACGTACCAAGTGAAACACATATTTTTGTGGACGTCAGCTACTACGGCAGCAAGTAATATTCGGAAACATGCAACATCATTTTTTGTCACGACGTGTGCGGCTATATTAATCTGTATATGTATAACGTGCATCCTGCGAGCCTTCAGACACGTTGGGGCCCGCCACCTTCCCGAAAGACTTGAGTGCAGCATCAGTATTCCTCAATAAGACCGGCCTTATTGAGGAATACTCAGTCCTCTATAAGGCCGATACCGGCCTTAAACAAGACCCGTTTCCAATAAGGCCTGGTGCCCTCTTTAAGGCCGGTCATTTCGTCTGTCAAAGGGCGGCCTTAAACAGGGACCTCTACTGTACAAGTATAGGAGCGGTACGATTTGCAGCTGAGATGATGAGGAGAAACGAAGGGTAAATAAACCACACCCTGTATATAACTAATAACTAGCTGAGTTAGTTGTGCAAGGGTTCAACTACCCGTAGTTGAACAGAATTAACTAGTTGTACAAGATTCTGAGACTTTTAGTTGAACGGATTCAACTATGACTCTAGCTGAACAGATTCAACTAAATGCACACGATCCTGAGACTTTAGCTGAACAGATTCAACTAATTGCACACGAGTCTGAGACTTTAGTTGCACGGATTCAACTACTTCGAGGTAATTGCACACGATCCTGAGACTTTACTTATGCACACGATTATGAGACTTCAGTTGAACTACCGAACAACTACAACTATCTTAGTTGTACAGGGTACGAGTGCTTTCTTCGTGCCCGACTCCACTTTTCCTCTACGACCGCGGTGCTTACCCTAGCCTTCAATCTTCAAAAGGGGTCAGCAATCATCCCCCTTCCTCCTGTACCATGAGACCCAGTAATTTTTTTCTAGGTTGCTGAGACTCGTTTTCGTATGGATGACAGTAAGCAGTGTGTCCCCGTTACTCAGGGTGGAGACCTACAATACCACAGGCGGCAGCAGGTCCACAGGTAACGTGTCCTGTAGGACCCACCGCGCGCCGAGGTGAAAAATAGGCTAGGCTAGACTAGGTTGTGTTTTTGGATTTGAATGGGCTGTTTTTTTCCTTGATTCCGCGACTATCATGGCTTCGTCTTTCTCTTCTTCGGCTGTTCTTGGCAAAACTAACTTTCTTCGGAACCGGCCCCGCAATCACGAAAAAACTACTTGACGGGCAAGAATTAGTCTAACCGGCTCAATCTTGCACGAAACTTCGGACGGAACGGGCCCGCAGCCAAAGAGACATTCGGTCCGATAACGAAAAAAAAGGCTCGAACATGAGCAAAAATTGAGAAAAATTGGCGTGGAAACAGAGTCCAAAATGTCAGCGGCAGATTCCTGCGGCAAACTCTACCTATCGTATGCATACAACAACAGCGTGTGCTCCACGGTGTCTATCTGCGGAATAAGAAATCGAGTCTCGTCCAACCCGGATGATGTTTACAGTAGTTGATGCTTGATAGTTGAACGCCCGTTCTGTAGTTACTCAAGAGTTGGCCTCCGCGGCGAGGAAAGCGCCAGATCGACCGGCAAGAGAAAGAGACAGAGAGAGATATGTTTTCCGTATACGGCACTAAGACTACACTCCCACGTCGCCTATGGCAAGCACAGCAGAACGAAGACGGAGAAAAAACATCGGCGTGGACTTCCCCCTGTCTGTGTGACTTCGGCTATTAACAGGGCATGCAGAAACTGTACTGAAACACATGACAAGGTATTTAGAAGCCGAAATCAAACCGTAGGCTACCTAGTCAGCGGCTGTACTGGTCTGATTTCGGCTGCCAAAGACCAACGGCTGGACAAATGGGTTGACGAATAAAGAATAGAGAGAGAAAAAGAGAGAAAGAGAGAGAGAGAGAAAGAGAGAGAGAAAGAGAGAGAGAAAAAGAAAGAGAAAGAAAGAGAGAAAGAGAGAGAAAGAGAGAGAGAAAGAGAAAGAGAAAGAGAGAGAAAGAGAGAGAGAAAGAGAGAGAAAGAGAGGGACAGAGAAAGAAAGAGAAAGAAAGAGAGGGACAGAGAAAGAAAGAGAGAGCGCTTTCGACGTGGGCGACAACCCCCACCCACCGGTTGCCGTGACGCTGGTGCCCAAGACGGAAGGAACTCCCCCCCCCCCCAACCCCATCTTCCTCTCTCTGTAACCGCAGCAGCACTCTTTGTCTACCACTTTCCTCATTTCCCCCCTGCAGGGCATGTATGCCACATGTCACAAGGAAGGCCCCCCCGGCACACCGCCCGCAAGCATGTATTCACCTCAGGCTCAGTACCGT